TATATATTTTAATTATTAATTTTAATTTAAAATTTTAATTAATAAAATTAAATTTTATATAAACATGATCACTATATAAATCACCAAAATCATATCTTTACTGTTTTTTTAGGAGTGTTTTATTTGAATTATACATAAAATAAAAATCCTTAGTTTTTTAATCCTAAGTACTTCTGGGATTCTTAGCACATTGTCACATGCTCCAACTTTTGAATGTAATGGAACATAATTGGAGCATTTGAGGATGGACTGAGAAGTCTGAAAGTACTTTGGCTAAAGGTTTTTGTTTGTGTAATTCAGATACTCTTATAAAAGCTGTAAAGATATATATAAATTATATATGATTTTGATACAGTATAAGTGAGTAAAGTTCACAAATTTCATCGGTTTGATCCATTCCGATCAAATGATCTGTCCTTCTTCCCTTTCAGGTAGAACATGTCCATGTTTCTTTCACCTTACCACCTTTTTTTAGGCCCAGTTTCCTTAGCTGGAGGTGGGCCAGTCAGATGGGAGTCCACCAACTCTGATGCTGGTCCCAACAATAAGATGATTGTTGTCTGGACCTTAATGTAATCTTAGCACTTCCAAAGTTGAGCTCTGATGATTTTCGAGTATGGTGGAGAGGCTCTAAAACAAAAATTAATTTAATTGTCCTTGGAGGTCCTTGTCCCTTCATTTAAGGGGATTGTCTGGCCCAATGACAGTCCAGTCCAAAGCAAGGTTGGTAGCTCGCATCCATGACCACCTTTGATGGGATCACGGTGTGATGTAACTAAGGATGCACCGATAAGCAAAATGGCTGATTACTGATTAATCGGCCATACATTATCGGCCGATACCGATTAATCGGCCGATTAGTGTTAATAATTTATTGCATTAATAGTGTGAGATCCTGGAGTTAATTATACAGTTAATTATAATGTGGAAAAAACCCATTTTTTTCCACCTGGTATTTCCATCTCCCTCGGGTCAGGTAAACAAGAGATGATCGAATATCCTTGCAAAATCAACAATATCTTCCTTTGTTTCTAAAATAAATCCCAACACTTAATTGTTAACACATGGAAACTTCGACATTGTTTAAAAAACTGAAGTGTTTGTGTTTAACAGAAACAAAATATATTTCTTTAACCGCTGATACTTGGACAGTAACTACAAACAATTCTCCTTTTTTAAGTGTAACAGCCCACTGGTTGAAGGATGATTTTCAGCAGGAAAGAGCTGTTTTGCAAATTGTTTCCTTTGAAGGTTCCCACACAGCTACACGAATCAGTGAACAGTTAAAAATTGTTCTTGAACAGTATAAGTTGACAAGTGATAAGATATTCTTAGTACTAAGAGATTCTGCAGCAAATCTGGTAGCTGGAATTAGGAATTGCAACTTAGAAGCATTATCATGCTTTATACATACGCTGCAGCTGACACTAAACGAATGCATATTTTCTAAACAAGATGTGAAAACTATAATCACAGTTAATAGAAATATTGTCACACATTTTAATCATTCTGCTGTAGCTGTAATCAAATTGGAAGATTTGCAAGAAAAGTTAGGTTTGCAGAAACACAAATTAATTCAAGATGTTCCTACTCGCTGGAATTCTACATACTACATGTTGGAACAGCAAAAGGCCCTTGTCACATATGCTATAGATAATAAAATTCCTACGTTGAGCCCATATCAGTGGTCTCTCGTTGAAAAAATTGTTCTACTTGTAAAACCATTCAAAGAAATTACTGTGGAAAGCCAGCAAACGAGAAGCCACTTCATCTTCAATAATTCCCACAATAGAGACTCTGAAATTATTCTTATCAAAAGCAAAGATCAGTAGTTCCTTTAGTGGCATTAATACCACAACAGAAGAACTAGAAAATCCAAAAAAAAAAGATTTTCAGCATATATAGAAAACAAGTCTTTATGCTTGTCATTTTTATTAGATTCAAAATGAAATTTCAAAAAGAAAATATGGTAGAGGAAATCTCAATAAGAATTAAATTCTGAAGCTTCTACTTCTGGAGGTGATCAAGATGGAGGTGAATTTCTAAGTTTTTCTGATTTATTTGATGAATTAGCTTCTGGTAAACAAAAGAATGAAGAATAGCATGTTTTTAAAAAGAAAGAAAAAACGAGACGAACAAACGTTTCGATCAAGAATTAGAAACATATTTACATTTATCCCTTAAACAAAGACATAGTGACATATTTTTGTGGTGGAAAAGTTCAAAAGAACTTTTTCCTAATTTGAGCAAAATAGCTATGAAATATTTAAGTGCCTCAGCATCTTCCATTGAAAGTGAAAAAATTTTCAGCACTGGAGGTAACATTTATGAGCCGGCAAAAAATAGGTTATGCCCTGAAAATGATGAAATTCTCATGTTTTTGCATTACAATTTAAGGGTTTTACAGTTTAAATATTAAATTTTTATTTGTTTTATATGTTTAAACTTTAAACTTATAAAACAAATAAAAATTTAATTTTTCTTCTTAACCTATTCAATACTTTTTCTTATGTAAAGTTTAAACTTTATATTATACGTTATATTATACTTATAATATGTATTGATAAAAGGAATAATTTGATTAGTAAAATTTTTTTAATATTCAGATTTTCATGTAATAAATAATAAATATATAACAGAAATTTATTAGTTTTTATTACTATCATTGTACGTAACATTCTAACAAAAATACCAAAATGTAAAATTGGCCGATTATCGAAACCGATTAATCAGGAGGAATGGCCGATACCAATTAATCGGCTAAGCGGCCGATACGGCCGATTACCGATTACTTACCGATTAATCGGTGCACCCTTAGATGTAACCCGTTACGCTGACCGTCTCTGGAAAAAATTGAACCGCCCAAGTGGAAGACAAAATTACTTTGTCTCCACCAACCATTAGGCCTACACAACAAACTGCATGAATGCAAAATTAATATAAATTATTGCTACTTTTAAGTTAATTGATTTAAAATTAATTTTTAAAAGAAATTTCAGCTCTGTTTGGCTCCTTAAATACCTAATTTTGTAATGTGGAGCTTTTCCCACATATAATGTTTAATGTGGTGCTTTATCTCTTTGTATGGTTGTTTGTGGTTGTGTCTGTGAGAAACACTTGTTCCAGAAGCACCTCTCTGCAGAAGACAACATATTATGTTTGCCCCAATATCCAGTTCTAGGAAATCTTGTTGTTTATTATAGTTCAGTTATTAATTATATAAGGGAGAGAAGTAGTCTCTACATAATTAAGTAGTCTTACATAATTAACAGCTGAATTATAATAAACAAGAGGAAGTTCAATCCAACTTGAGCTTAGAAAGACACTTGTTGATGATAACAGTCTGTCTTTTTAACAGTTGCAGTCTGATATTTTATTCATGCACTCTTGCTACAATTTGTAGCAAATATGTAATTAATGTGAAATAAAATAGCAGCATATAAATTTACGAAAAGATTGCAAGTAATAGTTATTTTCTCATTATTCCAAAAAACATTCTTAAAAAATTGTTCTGTGATCAAATAATTTGTACTTTTTCCATCAAGAATTCTTCATCAATTCCTATGTGATAGATATGTTCTCAGTAAAACAATTCTATACTAGGTTCCAAGGAACATACATCACATATTATGTGTAGTAGTAGTTTATATAAATGTATATAGTTTTTTATGAAATAGTATGACTTGAAATTGACTTTGAATAAAATTATAATTGTTTTTAAATTTAAAATAAATTGCTATTTTTAAATTTGTAAACTTTTAGTTATCTTGAATTTAATATTAAATATGTCTAACAAATTAAATCTAATTGTTTATATTAACACGAAGCACTAGAAACTATTTAGTCAGCTTTATGAATCAAAATAAGCAGGATTATTACGATGACTAAGACAAAACCTTTCACACTTTGTTTCTAGCAGTTTAATCACTAAGTACAAACGTTTTCGGCCGTTTTAAATGGCCTTCTTCAGGTACAATGAGGTCAGTTGGAACATAGGTTAGCAGATTGTACCTGAAGAAGGCCATTCAAAACAGCTGAAAACATTTGTACTTAGTGATTAAACTGCTAGAAACAAAGTGTGAAAGGTTTTGTCTTAGTCATTTTAAGTAGTTCTAGCTTCAAATGCATAGAAGGATTATTACCGTGAGCTTTATTACATAAGAAAAATCAGATTGGATTCAATTCTAGATTCCTTCATATCTTTACGCTGATATTTTATTGCATGACCATATGTTCAATCAATATAGTCCTACACTAATAATAGCTTTCTCAATTTTGCTATTTTATGTTAAATTTAAATTTTAAACATTTATTTTATTATATTTCTAACTATTAAAATCAATATTTTCATATTTAGTTAATATATGATTTGAAATGTGCCAATCCATCTGCTAAAATATCAGTAAAATTAGTATCTGAAGTTGGTGTTGGTGTGGTAGCATCAGGAGTTGCAAAGGTAAAAAAAAAATGTAATTATTTTTAAAAATAATGATAAAAATATTTAATATTTTTTATTTGAAATTATTTTAGATATAATTTTAAAAAGTAATTTTTTGAACATTATATTATTTTTCTTGTTTGTTTTATGTAACTTTTGTGATTTTATTTAATCATTGTCATTAACTAAAAATCCAGCTTAAAAGATAATGTATTAGACTATAACACTACAATTCACTTGATCAATATTATAAGTGATGCAATTCACTTGCCTGTATTATAAAATTTATTGAATAATAATTCATATTACAATTATATTTAAAATATTTATTATTTTATTTATATTTATACTTTTCTATAAATTTGCTTATTCTTAAAAATAAAATTTTTATACCATAGGGAAAAGCAGAACATATTACAATATCTGGTCATGATGGAGGTACTGGTGCAAGTAGTTGGACTGGTATTAAAGGAGCTGGATTACCTTGGGAAATAGGGATTGCCGAAACTCATCAAACACTTGTACAGAATGATTTAAGATCAAGAGTCATTTTACAAGCAGATGGACAAATAAGAATAGGTATCTTTTTTAAAGGTTTTTTTTAAACTATGAGAATTAAAATAATTTTGTTCAGCTAATTATTTATTATGTTGATATTTAATATAACATATTAGTTTTTAAATATTAATATTTAATTTTTTTTCCATTCTTACACAATTTTCATGAATTTAAATTAAGCTGCTCAGTAAATATATAACCTACATAATATGATAATATAATAATAATAGATACAGTAATATGTTAAAAAAATATTATTGTTATAAATAAAAGTTTTTCAACAAAAATATTTATAAAATAAATCAAATTTTGATTAGTAAATTATCTGAATGTAAATAAACTTATTTTAAATTTTAACCATATTTATTCTAATACTTTATTTTTAATTATTTAATTAAAAAATTTTATAGAATAAAGAATAAATATAAAACTTAAAATTTTCTAATTTAAGTATTCTAAATATAAATTAAGAATTAGAAATCTGTACAATTAAAAATACATAAAATCTGTTTGTGCAAGTATATTGGGCATCCTTAAAATACAGTTTTGAACAACACTGATTACATTCATAAGCCAATGATAGTTTGGGGGTTGTCTTATAGGACAGATATATACTAAAACTATAAAACTTTGATGAAAATTTATACCTTGTCTTATCTGAAGGTCATCTTATCTGCGCAGATATACGGTATATATTTGATATGACTATTTTATCCATATTAAATATATATATATATATCTATTTGATATGGATAAATATATATATATATATATGTCAAATATATATATATATATATTTGATATGGATATATTTTATATATCTTTTATATATATATTTTTGACATGGATGAAATATGAATGAAAATATGTACATAAATGTAGTGATTCTGCTGGAAATTCAAAAAACTTCACCATTTGTTTTGCCCCTTCTAAAATTTTATTTTGACTTTTGGTTTTATGTTGCCACATTATGCTCTTCCATCTACTCATTATTCTGTAAAAATTGAAAAATTTATACCTTTATGTTTATCACAATAATTTCTTTTATAATAGATATTGTTTTGAAACTTTTATACTAGAAAACAGCAGGAGTGCAGAATATTTTTAGGACCCAAAATTTTCCTAAAACATACAAAAAATTTCCCCCAAAATTATTTCACACTAGCACAGAAAATAAAACAATAACTTATGAATGAATTAATAATTATTATTGTATAATTTGAAAAATTCAAATTAAATCATACAAATAATTAAATAGGTCTGCTACATAATTTTCCATGCAACACATCCAATAAATTAATATAAAAATTTTTTATATTAAAACACTTTAATTTAAGCAAATGCCATCATTACAGGAGAGAACAATCTTGTTACTTTATTTTTATGTGGTATATATACCCTATTTTTATTTCCTATATATTTATTTCAGAATTGTTCTGAAAGTTTCTGGATATGCACAAACTGTTAGACTCTATCATATTCTATGCAATATTTTATCTTCTCAAACCAACTGTTGAAGTGATTATACCACTAGATTTCTGAGATAGATGACTCATCTATGTTGATATACAACATACTTTCTGTCGATTAAATGACTCATCTATGTTCTGAAAATGTTGTCCATGAAGCAGTCCCTTGACTTTCAGCAATAGAAAAGTCAAGGGCATTCATTATTCTCAGTGTGTATGCCAAGGCATTGTCAATGTGAAGCAGGAGATTCCTAAGTTCAGTTTCTGGATATGTGATGGATCTCCTGAAAGACTTGTAGACAAATGGGGTAACATATAATCATTAAAGACAGTCTTTTGATTCTCTAGGCCACCTTCTGATTCTCTATATGTCCTCCTTAGCCAAATAATGTAGCTATTATTTGGAGCTAAACACTTTTAACATGTTTAATTTTCACAAGTGATGGCTCATGCAGGAACTCCAGATTACCGATTGTTTCTGGTTTATATTGATAGATTCATATTACACAATCAGTCAAAATCTCTTGAAAAGACTGTTTGCCTATTTTCAAATCTTTAAATCACGTAGCAGCACTACTCTGATGGTCTTACAGGTGATACAAAACCCATCAACAAGATTCAATGTAGCTTTTGGTGCAAGATCTTGTGCATTGTTCCCAATTTAATGCCTAGACCAGTGATGACAAACTGTGACCCATGTGACAATTTCAAGATGCTTGCATTTAATGTTTAGAAATTATTTGATTTTCATAAATTATAAAAAATATTTGATGGCTTTCAAAAGTTTGCATATGTAAATGGGAAAGCATGGTCCTAAAGCTGTTGTGAAAAGTCTTGAAGGCCATTAATTATAAACTTCAAATAAAAAAAATAATAATCAAATAAACAGTAGATTTCCAATTAAATGAAATATTTATTTCCATATAATCAGTTTATTATTTTCTTTTCATTTGTATGGAGTTTATTGTTTTTTAATGTAAATTAAAGAATTAAATAAAATAATATGTGTAGCATTTATTATTATTATTATTATTATTATATATANTTTTTTATAGATGTTTGATATTTGAATAAAGACAAAAAATCATATTTTGGATTTTGAGAGAATATAAACAGTTTAGCCTCTGTCAAATCTATATGCTCATTTGGTAACATTTTTATATTGATCCAGGAACATATTATAAAATATAGTCATCACAAATTTGTTAATAACTGCATCATTAGCATTTGAAAGTTTATAGTATGAACAACTATTTATCTTAATATCATTTTATATGTTTGATAATAGACTCACTTTAAAACTATATACAGTATATACTATGGTATCTAAGGTGAAATCTGTGTTTATTAGATTATCATTGAGAATTTCTTTGTTCATATTCAATTAATTGTACTGTCAAATCCTTGAAACAACTGAAATTAACAAATTTATGTTTGATAAGTTGATTTTATGATTATAATTTTATATATATTTGTGACTTTTATTGCCTTTTAAAATAAACATTTGATAATGCTTTAACAAAAGCACTCATTTATTTTTGAAAAGATTTTTTTTTGTCATTGTGAAGTCCTTATTCTCCGTTGTCATACCCAACCCTAATACCTAGTATACCCAGGTATACCGGGGATAAAACACTATATAGCTGGCCTAGACTAAATTCTGTCCTTGTACAATATACAAGGATCTGCTATTATCACTGTATTGATGCATTTCTGACTGCTGTTGCAGTGGCTTTCGACCATGTCTTTGAGAGTTATCCTTCCACATCAAAATTTGACAAATACCTGTATATGAGATGGAACATTGTCTGAGAGAGAGCATCTTGAAAATGCTGGAATAATTAGGTCTCTGTCCAGTTTAAAATTACAAAATGAATCCTGAATGGTTCTGAATTTTTTTCTAAAATGATCCTGAGTCAACTTCATTGTAAGTGACAGACAGACTGTGCCAGATACATTTCCTACTGTTCAGGATGGCAGAGTTTTCAAGAGTGAGATATCTGTTGGCATATCTACAAAACAAGAGTTGTTATATTTAATGCAGCAAATTTCAACACTGAATGTTACATACTTTACTCATATCTAAAAGCTTTCAGAATAATTTATGTATATAGTTTCATCTATAATGTGATGTCATTGCATTTACTTTTCACCATATATCAAATGATAATTCATCTTTGAGTATATTGCATTATCTTAAATAAAAATAAGAATATGATTACTTGATAAATGACTACTTATTATATTTTTTAGGATATGATGTTGTTATAGCAGCTCTGTTAGGAGCAGATGAATTTGGATTTTCAACTGCACCACTCATTTCTTTAGGCTGTACAATGATGAGAAAATGTCATTTGAATACATGTCCCGTTGGCATAGCAACACAGGTATATTACATCTGAATTATATTGTGAGAAGTATTGGTATTTAAGATAAATATATGTATTTTTTTTTAAATTTATTTTAGGATCCAGAATTACGAAAAAAGTTTGATGGAAAACCAGAATATGTTGTGAATTATTTTTTCTTTGTAGCAGAAGAAGTAAGGATTTCACTTGAATACTTTATGTTGAAGATAGATAAATAGTATTATTTTTAAATTCATAAATTTACAATAAATATTTAATACTAAAAGATGACTTTGTAATTTGTAAGTCTTTTCAAAACTTTTGCGTAATATTTGCATTTGTTGGGCTCAATTTGAAAAAATTGTAAACTTCTAAATTCCCACTGTTGTCTATCTATTTTTCTTTCATCTATCTAACACCATTTGAGATTAAAGTCAAGACCAAATATGGAAAGCTTAGAGGCAGGAGGTTGTGATTAACAGTATACGAACTTCTGATTTAGATTGGAAGTCACATGAATTCAATTTAAAAATTTTCTCCTGAATGGAGTTACATAGATGACTGGCATGACTCTGTTGTTATCAAGGAAAGTATGATGTACAGGAACAAGACACTACAAATTTGAGATGGAGAACATATATTTTAAATTGAATAAATTAAAAATATAATTAAAAATTGCAGCCCAGCATTATAACAATGTCACAATAAATAATTGCTCATTTCTAATTATTTATAAATAGTTTTCAGTTAATTGAATTTAATTTTTTGACAATTATGGTCAAATGATATGAAATGATATAAATTGGTATATTGATAAAATTATATTACTTACGGAATTGACCAAAAAACCACTTTATATGGCTCATTTTTATGTTTAAATGTTATGTTTATCAACAATAGTATGTATTATTTAATTTTATATTACTTCATATTTCAAATATCGTTATTAATGATCGTTAAATATCGTTAAACTTATGAATCGTTTTTAATGCATTATTTGATATCAATTATCATTTAAAACTGTTTGTTAATTGAAGTTTTAGATTGAGAATTGATCAGATTCATAAATTGATTTGATATATTTAAAATAGGATGTAATATAAAATTAAATGATACATACAGTCGACCTCCCTATAACACTCTTGATTTTTCTGTTTTATATGAATTCCATGTTGTACGAGTCACTTAGATTTTACAAATATGTGAGCCGTTCACAGCCCGGCGCACATATTTGTAAAATCTAAGTGACTCGTACAACATGGAATTCATATAAAATGGAATAATCAAGTGTTATAGGGGGTTGACTGTACTATTATTGATAAATACAACATTTGTCAAATGATATCATTTGACAACAGTTTTTATCATTTATGCAGAATTTCAAATGTGAAAATATTACAAAATTATTCGATGATAATTTATATTATTTTCATTACTTAATATTCTCTTCTACAAAGTAAATGATTGAAAAGGACTTACCATTTGTTACTATTTAATATTTCCTACCAATTGGCATCAAATCATATCATTCGAAATTAATTACAATTAACAAATGACTTCAAATTATAGTTTTACTAGGGTATACATTTTTATTTCATTAAACTATATTAAAATGAAACTAGAATTGTGTTTAGTTGTGGTATATACTTGATTCATGTTGTCAATATAAACACTATGTGAATTTAAACTGCTGACAATTCTCAAAAAAAAAAAAAAGAAAAAAAAAGAAAAAGGAATGATCAATAATCAATGCAGAGTAAAAACAACAAAGTTAATGTTATTAAATAACAGATTTTTCATATATGTATGATTACTGAAAATTTGTTGCATACTTATTACAATAACTTTTATTTATTAAAAAAAAAAAAAAAAAAAAAAAAAAAAAAAAAAAAAAAAAAAAAAAAAAAAAAAAAAAAAAAAAAAAAAAAAAAAAAAAAAAAAAAAAAAAAAAAAAAAAAAAAAAAAAAAAAAAAAAAAAAAAAAAAAAAAAAAAAAAAAAAAAAAAAAAAAAAAAAAAAAAAAAAAAAAAAAAAAAAAAAAAAAAAAAAAAAAAAAAAAAAAAAAAAAAAAAAAAAAAAAAAAAAAAAAAAAAAAAAAAAAAAAAAAAAAAAAAAAAAAAAAAAAAAAAAAAAAAAAAAAAAAAAAAAAAAAAAAAAAAAAAAAAAAAAAAAAAAAAAAAAAAAAAAAAAAAAAAAAAAAAAAAAAAAAAAAAAAAAAAAAAAAAAAAAAAAAAAAAAANAAAAAAAAAGAAAAAGGAATGATCAATAATCAATGCAGAGTAAAAACAACAAAGTTAATGTTATTAAATAACAGATTTTTCATATATGTATGATTACTGAAAATTTGTTGCATACTTATCATAATAACTTTTTTTTTTTTTTTTATAGATGTTTGATATTTGAATAAAGACAAAAAATCATATTTTGGATTTTGAGAGAATATAAACAGTTTAGCCTCTGTCAAATCTATATGCTCATTTGGTAACATTTTTATATTGATCCAGGAACATATTATAAAATATAGTCATCACAAATTTGTTAATAACTGCATCATTAGCATTTGAAAGTTTATAGTATGAACAACTATTTATCTTAATATCATTTTATATGTTTGATAATAGACTCACTTTAAAACTATATACAGTATATACTATGGTATCTAAGGTGAAATCTGTGTTTATTAGATTATCATTGAGAATTTCTTTGTTCATATTCAATTAATTGTACTGTCAAATCCTTGAAACAACTGAAATTAACAAATTTATGTTTGATAAGTTGATTTTATGATTATAATTTTATATATATTTGTGACTTTTATTGCCTTTTAAAATAAACATTTGATAATGCTTTAACAAAAGCACTCATTTATTTTTGAAAAGATTTTTTTTTTGATCATGTGTAAATGAAAAAAAGCATTAGTTACTAGAATAATGACAAATATTTTATAAAAAATGATGTTTGTAAATATTTACTTTAATGTTGACAAAGCTTAGAGAAGTATATATTTAACATAATTCAGTTGCTCTTATAATAAATTTTTATTGAATTAAAGATTGAATTTGAAATGTTTCTGAATTTAGATACTGATTTATTGAAAATTTACTTATTGTTATTATAAAAGAAAATTTATCTTTTTAATCTGATTAAACTTTTATATTATAAAACCAAATTTGATTGCACAAATTTTTATTATAGGTTAGAAGTTATATGGCAAAACTTGGAATTAGACATTTTCAAGATCTTATTGGTAGAACAGATTTATTGGCAGCCAATCCCGATGAAAATAATTGCAAAGCAAAATTATTGGATTTTTCTCCTTTATTATGCAATGCCTCTAGTTTAAGATCTGGAGTAAACATAATAGGTGGAAGCATAAATCAAGATTTCCAATTGGATAAGAGACTGGTATGATTTCATTTTAAGAAAGTTTTGATTTTAATAATTAAAAATAAATGTAAAATAATTATAATTGTACATATTTATGTAAAAACTCTGAAACAGGGTTTCTAATAAGATAATTTGAATACCTACATGCTACACCAAAACTGTTCTCAATATTCAGACTTCATCTTACTTATGTTATAAAAATTAAGATTCATGTAAGCAGTCCTCATAAATATGCTAATTAATTCTTTCTCAATTTTATTGATTGATAGTGAATGATTTGGATAGTAATAATATTTAAGGAAAAAATTGTTTAAATTGTTATTTCATCAAATTTTGATTTGGTACTATTCATATTAAATAATTTTTCCCCTATAATCCACAGATTATATGTTAGAAAACTTCACATTTGATAGTGTGAATTATAGGTGTGTATTTAATCTCACACGAAAAAATGACTCTAAAACTTATTTTGTCATGTCAAGAAGCCTCTTTCATGTGACAAAATGTAATGCAGTGTCTTATTGTTGCATTGGATGAAAGCAAAAGACAAACATGCTAGTGAACCAGCAGTGTGTTTAGAAATATGGCATTCCTAGGCCCACAATATGCAGTTGCTTTATAATGCCACTTTTGCACTAAATGATTGTATTTTATAATTTTAAATTCAGAAATGGTTTTATTTTTAGATTTTTAAATATCAAAATTATGAAAAACACATTTGTCGTCTAGGATACTGACATAATAAAATTTTTGTTATACAGATTTAATTGAATATTTTTATACAGATTAAATCAAACTAAAATTACAATGCAAATGATGAAGTTAATACAATACCACATAGTACTGGTCTTAGCTGCAACTTTTTGGTTCCATGTGATTTTCATGCAACGCTGGCATTGCATTCCAGCCATAGTGGTTACCGGAACAAAAGGGGCAAAGAACACTGCTGTTGAAAATCCATCATTAAGTACAGTAGATTGTCGATTATCCAAAAGAATTTCAGTCGGCAAATTTAAATTTTTGCCAGTGCTGTGGCACTGCAATCTTTAGCTATGTCTTGGGCTACTCAAATATTTTATGTTTTTGATACTAAATTAACTTCTGAAGTATAATTTTTTATTGTTTTTATATTTTTCAATATATTTATTTTGTTTGTACAAAATAAAAAAAATAATTTTTAATGATACAATAGTCTTTGTTAGGCTTAACATCGACAAAAATTCAATGCGAAGCGACACGCAACGGAGAAAAATTTCAACATAAGATAGGTTAATATATTTTTTCATACATAATCGGTTATCCAAAATATCGATTTTCCAAACAACCCCAGTCACCAATTGATTCGGATAATCAACGCTCTACTGTACTATCAATTTGTTCATGCAAAATATATACATATATTAATATCACACAACTGATACAGTATCTTATTTTTCCAGTACTTAAGCTTTTAATTTGCATCTAATTCCTTCATGAATTTTTTTTATATATAAATTATTTTATTATATTATTGTTATTATGGTAATGTATCAAGAAAACGCTTCAACTCTGCACATAGATCACATAGATGATGCCATGTTCAGATTCAGTGTTCTTGTTTAATTTAGTGGCAACAATGTTCTCGGAAATCCACTTATTCTCATGAATGAATGTTTTCAAGTGAGCAACATTGATGTCACTGTTGTGGAAGTGCAACCTGAATGATATTCCTCAACAATTGATGTTCAGACTTCTTGAAATCTTGCTAATCACTGGTACACTTTCACTCACAGCTTCCACCATATTGGACTCATTCTTATGTTAACCTCCTTTGGTTTGTTCTTTTAACCACAAAAATCTTAAGATAGAATGATACTCTTCAATAGTACAATTTTCTACTGGACAGGTATGATTCTCACACTGTTGTTATAGTCAGGCTTGTTTTGCCATCTATTGCACATTGTCAGAACCTACCGTTTAGATATTGCTACATTCTGTAAGTTTCATGAAGTTGCATTTAGTCTTATTACATACTTAAGCAATTTACCTTCACTAAGAAATTTATTGAATTACCATCATAGTATTGATTTATAGTATTATAAAAATTTTTTGTTATATTTTTTTTATAGGACAATGAGTTGATTGAAAAATCTGGAATACTGGAAAATCAGACTAAAAAGGTAGACATAACAATGAAAATAACAAACGAAGATCGAGCTTTTGCATCCACTCTAAGCTATATGGTAGCAAAGTTAGTATATAACATAAGTCATACATTGATAATTCTTGTATACTAATGAAAATTTTATGATTTATAATGCTAAAAAAATAACCATAAAAATGCTAAATAGTTCAAGAAGTCATCAATTTATTCAGATTAAATATTTTCCAAGACATTACAACAATTCCAAAAGTAAATTATTATAATTTGTATCATGATTTGACTGTTTGTTTTTTAAAAATTTTGATATATGTTCATATTTATTATTCTTTGCATTATTGATCTGATGATCCAGAAATCTAATTTCTTGAAAAACAGTGTTAATAAACTGACTACTTAAAGTATTCAGCACATTTTTTATGGTTTATGATTTCTTATGAAATTGATTGATACTTTTCTTTATTATTATTTAAATATTTCACTTTGTTACAAGGAAGAATTTATTATTGTTACTTTATATATAATAATAAATTTGATAATGATATACATATGATGTAGCATTTTTTAAACTAATTGTTTTCTAGAAAATTATCATTAGTCAAACTATAGTGAAGTCATCTATTATTTTCTATAAGCATAATGTAATTATGTTATCAGTCTAAAATAAGCTGTTTTTTTAATCATTACAAAATCTTTAATAAGAAAACACATTAAAAAATAATGTAGAAAAGATATGTTTTTTTCTTCTTTTTTTTATAATTCAGAAATTTACACTATAATTACATTTTGATTTTAACATATCATATTTTGAAGGAAATTTGGAGAAACTGGATTGCCCAAAAATACTATTAATATAAAACTTCATGGCACTGCTGGTCAAAGTTTTTGTGCATTTCTTGCTTATGGAGTTTATGCTGAACTTGAAGGAGATGCCAATGATTATGTTGCAAAGGTAAATGATAAAAATTGATTATAAAATTTAATGTTTTAGTAATATCACATATAATTTTTTATTTCTAAAAATAATTCATAAAATTTTATGAAGTCTTTTTTACAAAAAAAAGGGGGGTCAAACAAAAATTTGTAAAATTTTTCAAAGATAATAAATATATTGCATTTTTCTATTATTAAGAGCAGTATGCAATATTTAAAATTTTTAGTTTGCAAAATAGTTGAGATCAACTAGATCATATGTAATATATCATAATGATATACAGTGATGCCTCGTACAACATACTTAATCCGTTCCAGGTGCACGTCCGTTAAGTGAAACGTCCGTTATATGAAACGCATTTTCCCATAGAAATACATGTTAAAACGTATAATTTGTTCCGCAGCATAAAATAACCGCACTGTACATAAAAAATGAAAATGGAGCAGACACCAATTATGCCGGGTAGTCAGATGTTGTGAGGAGGAGGTGGAAGAACACTTTCTTTACACATTCATACAGATACAGACTTTTTACACATTGCAGCGGGTCTTTTTTTATTGTTTTTTAATCGGAGTCAGATTCAGGAGAGGCTACCGGAACTTGCAGGGTCAACTTCTCTTGTTCCATCCTTTGTTTTTTGCCCGCTGGCTTCTTGAAAAACATGACCAAGGTGGTCTGTTTCTCTTTCTTCTTTAACACCTGTCGGAAATGACGGACAAAGGTGTCATCGTAGAGATCATTGATCCTGTTGGCCTCAGCTCTGTTTGGATAATGAGTGTTGGTAAACTCCTGAACCTCTCCCCATTCGACAAGAAAGTTTTTGTCAACTTTCACTCCTGATGATTTCTTGCTTTGTTTCAATTGAAATCACCTTCCTTTTTTTTTTTTTTAGAAGCCATGATGCATTATAAATGACTTAACTTGCCAGATTATATGATACGAATAATTCTTTATTAATTAAGATCACTAAACACTTCTACGAGCTACTCTCGCTCCGTTTGTTTTTTACAACCTCTTTTCGTCCCGCCACCTCGGCATCTACACAATTACATTTCGTTTATTTGAATCGTCAACATATACTGTATTACATTACATTTAATGTTTATTTAAATCATCAACATATATTACATTACATTTCTACTTCAGATATACTAATAATACATTCTAATAATACTAATATATCCTAAAAATAGCATATTTTCATTGGCAACGGCAAAAGAGTGGAAACATCATTCGCACTTGTTCAAAAAAAGTCCAGTGTTTGTCTCACGTAACTGCCGTACGGAAAGTTTGTTGTTTGCAGCAAGTCCGTTGCTCGAGTCACGTAACGGTCAAACAGAAAGTCCGTTATTCGCAGCGTCCGTTATTCGAGGTGTACGTTATACGAGGCACCACTGTATATATATATATGATATAGTTTATTTCATTATAGATACAAGAGTTTAGATTATCATACAATAATTACTGACTTTTGTAATTGAATTTTTTTTATATAAAAATATTTTTCAATACACATTTTTGATATTTTATTGAATTTTTAACTTTATCAATATTAAAATGCTTTTTCAAAGACTATATAGCTATATATAATGTTCGAGAAAAATGTTTTATGAATGTAAGAAATAAGTATTTTTTTGAAATGCATATAGTAAACGTAAGTAAAAATTGTAAAATAATATAGATTAATTAAAATTCTTTCAATAGTAAATTTTATATCATTTTTTTATTGATTAAAGAATTATTTGGATTAACAAAACTGATAATTTTACAATATATTTTAAATTTAAAGGCATATTAATACTTCTTATTTGTTGTATTTTAGAATAATTTATTAATTTATTCTCATATCAAATTGAAAAATTAAAAACAACACAAATAATCAAACACAAAAATCAGTTTACATTTTACATTTTTAAGAAACAACATTAATTAAATATGATGATAAGTTTAAAAATACAGTGGGTGATCGGTTAACAAACATAATCCGTTCCAAGACTTTGTTCGCTATCCGAATTGTTCATTAACCGATTATCGATTTAACATAGGTTTCTATGGGAATTTGATTAAGTCGTTCTGGAGACCCCCAAAAATAAAAAAAGTACATACTTCTTTACTACGTTTATTCATATGTAATAATAAAAATACATACATACACGGTCTTGCATTTTTATTAGTCATGTTTTTTCTGTTTGTGGGGGTTAAAGAATCTATCCAATGTCGATTGCTTTTCTGTCTTATTCATGATTTTTCAGAAGTAATTAATAGCATTGTAATTGTAGAGATCCCTAGCCTATTAACCTCAACTTGATTTGGATGCCATTTTAAGACCGTTGTTCTGACATCCTCCTACTTCTTCAAAAGATCTTTAATAGCGGATATCGGCATAAATCCGCATTTTCAGAAGAAAACGTAAAAGAATTGTTTCTGTCAGAAATACAAAAGGCTGGAATTACAAGAGAGAGTTTCAAAGTTCGGGGGAATACTATCCGATCAGTATATACTGGGTAGAACGTCGATGTCGACGTCTCCCGCACTCCGAAAAGTTTCGAATTGTTGCCTGAAGACAAAGGAAGACTAATTGGTATTTGTTATTTTACGTCGCTTCTTGTGTTTGTTCAGTGAAGTGTTCGTTATCCGAACATATGTTTGTTGTCTGATTATAAAAATCTTTCGCGAAAGTGTTCGTTAACCGATCACCCACTGTATAGTAGAAATTTGTTAATTGTAGTACTCTTTGAAAAGTAACTGATAATCTGGAATTGTCTAATAATAATCCAGCATAATTTTTTTGGTGAATCAGAATTTATTTAAACATGTGATGTGCTAAAATTTTTTGGCAGAAATCAAGGTAAGAAGGAGGATATGACTGTACACAATGCTTTTGATCCTACAGTTAACCTCCTGATATCTAGCAATATGATAAAAAAAAAAATGACACACTGATTTTGTTATTGACCTTGTTTATGTCAAATTAGATTGCTTTGACTGGTGATTTCTTTTATTTACAAATTGAACTCGAAAGCTTTACAGCAAACAAATCAAAAGCATATAGCAATGTGTACAGGTATGAAATATACAGCAATGTTTGTAATGTTCATCTCAAATATAACTTATCAATTTTGTGAAAATACAAAAACATTTTATAATCTGGCACAAGTCTGGTTCCATAGGTGATTATCTTTTACTGTATGATATTATGACATATTATTCTAAGGTAAATACAAAGTAAAATATGATACAAGTTAAAACAGAAAATACAATATATGAACAGAAATTTTATTAAACTTATAGGAGATTGTGATATAACTGGTTAAACTTGTAGAACTGTTTATGTAAACATAGAACAAAAGATAACACTTCTTATCTAATGAAAGATTAGTACTAGAAATTGGAGCATAAAAGTAGGTTATCATAGTTAATAACTCCCTAAGGGGTAGTCATCACTAGCACCCATCTCTATCCTGAAAATTAAGCTTTTTGCCATTTTATAATAGTTAAAAATATGAAAAGTTTTTTAAAATATCATAACAGATGGTGCCACCAAATGTTGCAATTCATTGTTGGATTTTTGATAGTAGTTCTCTAAATGTTGTTTGTTTTTGTTTGATTTGAATGATCTGAAGCTGGGATATAATTGTCCTGAAAAAGACTTTATCGAGTAAACAAGATTTTTCTGGACTTCTTGATTGCTAATGTTCCTTTACTTATTAATTGAAGATAATCTTTATGAATTTTACTTGTTGAATATTTTAAATCAATATACTGTGTAATCACTCATAAATATTGATTCTTGAATGTGTTTTTATTTTTATTATAGGTAAGAACAAGTTTCATGTCATATTTTTGTCAATTTATTTCTATTTTATGATAATTTGCAAGATGATTGTAATCTTATTTTTCAATTTGGAATACAGTAGTTTGACTGAATTTATTCCTGCTTGAATATTATTCTACAGAAATGCATGAGCTTTGTAACAATCAGTGGTGTGCTGTCATTGGAAGCGGTAGAAGCACCACTTCCCTTGTATTTTCAAAAAAGTAAATACATAATGTGGTTATAATAAAATATTAATTTTAATTCATTCAAAATACGTTAAAATATGAAAATAATCGCTCAATATGTATCTTATTACAAATTTCTATACTACATGTGAAAAAGATAAGATTGCTATTGTATATTCGAATATCAGTGGTGGAATGGAAGTGCTGTACTGTCGAATATGGGACAACTTCCAAGCAGCCAGATTATATGCATTCGCGTGTGTGCTTTACAAGACTACAAATATTCAAGTACAAAGTAACTGGTTTTGACTTTGGCTGGAATTTTACTAAAACAAAAGCTTAACTGAACAAATCTCTAGCCGAGTATAGTGGGGACTGATTTCTTCATAATATTAGATATAATAAAGACAGAAATTTTTCCAGTTCAATGCAAGTGACCGAAAAGTTGTAAATTTTGGAAATTTCTGTGGATACCTGGTCTTAAAATGAATTAGTTAGAAAACAAATGGCTATTAAGTTTAACATATTTAGATTTTTACAGCTATGGTGAGAAACATTTAAAATTTACAACACCCAGTCATGTCCTTTGAGATATACTAGTGATGCGACAAAAGAGGTACTATATTTGAAATTGACCAGTATCGGCACCCTGGGAATTTGGCCGTCCGCGTGTATGCTCGCTCTGCAACTGTCTCTGATTCCATCCACTCGTAGGGAGCTATTTGACTAAGTAGATTGTTTTAAGATTTAAAAAGTGAAGAATATTTTATTTTTAGGTACATTTCTTTACAAAGCTATATTTAATTATAGTTTTCTTTAAAAGTATATTAATATAATTGAAGAATATTTTGTACCAGGTATGTACTGTACCAGTACATCCACCACAAATTTTATTTCCCTGAGTAAGATTTTATTTTTAATTTTAGCCCTTATATCGTGGCTAGCAATTTGAAATGTAATTGCGATATTAAAAATACATTTAGAGAAGTCTACAGATTTTACTGGCTTATCAAACAAATGATATGAATGGACCCTAGACCATCACTGACGTGCAATTAACTGATTGCCCCTAGAAGTCAGCTTGTTACAGAAACACAGCTTCCCTATCATCAGATGTCACGGCATGCCACTGGTAACAATATAAAATGTTTTGTTGAATTTTGATTGATTTTGAAATCAATATTCTATTCAAATTGTTATCTCATAGTAATATAATTTTTGAATTTTTTATCTCTCAATTTGATAACATTTAAAATATTTTCTTTTAAAAACTGTTCTTAAAATAAATTTAATTTAATTTTAATCAGCTTGATAGATTATTCTTAAAATTGGTAACATAATTAATTGAAAAAGCTGGCTATGACTGAACTTTTAAAATTTTAATCAATGACATTCATCAATGAATGCCAATGATTAATAATTTTAAAATTAACTTTAATATGTAATGTCATTTAACTTATATTATGCTATTCTGATGATGATGATGATAATGTGAAAAGCTTAAAAACCTTTTTCAATTTTATTTTAGGGCTTATCAGGTGGAGAGGTAATTCTTTATCCTCCAAAAGATATGCCTGCAGATTTTAAATCTGAAAATAATTTCATTGCTGGTAATGTCTGTCTTTATGGTGCAACTTCTGGAAAAGCATTCTTTCGTGGTATAGTGGCAGAAAGATTTTGTGTACGCAATTCTGGAGCTATTGCCGTTTGTGAGGTATATTATAAAATCATTTGTTATTGTATGTTGTAATTTTCTATATTTTAAATATTTATAATTATGAATTCCATTATATTTTGATTTTATTTTGCATTTTTTTTAGGGTGTTGGAGATCATGGTTGTGAATATATGACTGGCGGTTATGCTATAATATTAGGTCTTACAGGAAGAAATTTTGCAGCTGGTATGTCTGGAGGAATTGCTTATGTCTTAGACAAGTATGTTAATTATTTACTAGATTAGATACAATGAAATTTTTAATAAATTTGAATTTAATTGTGATTTACATAAGCAAAATATTTTATATTTTATTCTGTTGATTTTTCTAATATATAATGATTTCAAATCATGTAAGATATTTTTGGATTGAACATTTCATATTTCAAAATTTAATCATATAGTAGATAAGCCAAACATTTACCAGATTAACTCAGGCTTCATTACCACTATTAATAATTATTAAATACCTATCTAACCTATGTCAGAATAGTATTGATTTATAGTATTATAAAAATTTTTTGTTATATTTTTTTTATAGGACAATGAGTTGATTGAAAAATCTGGAATACTGGAAAATCAGACTAAAAAGGTAGACATAACAATGAAAATAACAAACGAAGATCGAGCTTTTGCATCCACTCTAAGCNATAAGCCAAACATTTACCAGATTAACTCAGGCTTCATTACCACTATTAATAATTATTAAATACCAAGTAATTTGGCACTAGAGGTAGGTGTTAGGTGCTGTCTCTTATTAAATTAATAAATTGTTTATTATTACTCAGTATTTAATATTAGCAGTGGTAATGTATCACAATTTAAACTTGTAAACCATTTGGCTTTGAGATGTTGAGGTATTTATTTATATATAAATAGTAAACAAAGTCCAAATTATAAAATAATCAAATGATAACATCAGATTTATTCTCAGGCTATATAGCCTGGCTAATTAAAGATATGTAATCTGGACCAAAGGTAGGAAATTAAGTCACCAATCTTGTAATAAATTTGATAATTCAAATTTAATTAATTTAGAATAATCTGAAAAAAGATTGATCTTGAACCCATAACTTCTGCTTACCATGCAGATGCACTGCAAATTACATTTCTTGGATTTCTGTCCCATCTTCATTTCCAGACTAGTTAATTTACAAGATATTATGATATAGTCATATTGGTCATTCAGCACAGCAAATGACTAAGATGGATTTATCTCCTAAATTAATTGGTCTGAGTAGTGTACTTGGTAATATATCTAACAGAGTAAGTAAAAGTTGCAGGTTTGAGTCTTACTCTAATTTGAAAATTAGAAGTAGATAACGATGTCATCTGTTGTTAAATTTAACGGTTATAATTAAAGTTAATTTTATTAATTAAATTATATTGTTTATTTTTCAGCTGTTAATGTGAGAACCTAAGACAACTCCTTCTTTCCAAATTAGAATAATAGTCAATTTATAAAACTCATAGAAATATAGAATAATAAGTTCACAATATTTAAGGTTATCTGTTAAATTTTTGTATTTTTTTTAAATTGAAATCTTTATTTAGTATAATTTATTTTTAATAAATTAATAATCTATTTTTAGAGATGGTTGTTTTTCTCAAAGATGCAATAAAGATATGGTGGATATTTTTCCTGTTGAATTAAATGAAGATTTGAAATTTTTGAAAGAAATAATAAGTGAATTTCATACTAAAACTGAATCTGATGTTGCTGCTCGCATTTTGAAAGAATGGCCTGATTCTACAAAACAATTTTTAAAAGTATTTGTTTTTTAATAGAATTAACTAAACAAAATGAAAATAATGTACTAGCTATTATTATTAAGATATATCTTCTATAATTGATAGATTTTCCCAAAAGAATATCAACGAGCTTTACGTCAATTAGAAGAAGAAAAATCCCAACAAAAATTAAATAGAAATGATAATACATATTCCATGGTTCATACAAAAACAAATGACATAGAAGAATTAGTATCTAACAGAAAGAAATCAGAAGTATTAGATAAAGTTCGGTAAGTTTTTTAAATATGAATAACAACATTTATTATCATTATTATCAGTATTAAAAAATACAGTGGGATTTTTTAATCCAAACTAACAAGATTATGGCACTTAATACACCAGACTTAACAGTGTTGAAAGTAAAAATATGGATAATTAATTTAGCAATATCTGGTAATAGCAGAGTTGAAGAAAAAGAATTAGAAAATACCAAGATCTAAAAATTGATCTTGAATGATTATGGCACAAACCATTCATAATGACTCTTCAAAGAACTATTTATGAGATTATATTTAAAAACTAATTGAATTTTGTGTTAGTTCATTCAGCTCTTATTATCTGTAGTAATAAATACTCAAATCCGTATTGTTGGATATTACATTATTGATTTTAAATATTTTTCCAATAACAATATATTGTATTAAAATACTTTTCCTATTCTTTTTCTATTTCACTGTAGATGTACTAAAGCAGAGTAAACTAAAATTATACTAAATTACTGTTGTTGTTATATCTACAATAAATTGCTAGCAGAAGTGAAATGGAAAAAGAACAGGAAAAACAGTATTTGACACAATATCTTCTAAACTAGTATGGCATATCATGTTTTCCATAAAACTTCAGTTATGCAGAGTGTACATTAGTGCAGGTTATGCAAAGATTTTATTTCAAACATATACTGCTGTAAGTTATTTCAATCAAAATATATTTCTTCATAGTCTAGACTGTATTTAAACTTATATTTTGAATTAAATAAACAGTAGTAATAAAAAATATTTAGTTGAATTTTGATTGATTTTGAAATCAATATTCTATTCAAATTGTTATCTCATAGTAATATAATTTTTGAATTTTTTATCTCTCAATTTGATAACATTTAAAATATTTTCTTTTAAAAACTGTTCTTAAAATAAATTTAATTTAATTTTAATCAGCTTGATAGATTATTCTTAAAATTGGTAACATAATTAATTGAAAAAGCTGGCTATGACTGAACTTTTAAAATTTTAATCAATGACATTCATCAATGAATGCCAATGATTAATAATTTTAAAATTAACTTTAATATGTAATGTCATTTAACTTATATTATGCTATTCTGATGATGATGATGATAATGTGAAAAGCTTAAAAACCTTTTTCAATTTTATTTTAGGGCTTATCAGGTGGAGAGGTAATTCTTTATCCTCCAAAAGATATGCCTGCAGATTTTAAATCTGAAAATAATTTCATTGCTGGTAATGTCTGTCTTTATGGTGCAACTTCTGGAAAAGCATTCTTTCGTGGTATAGTGGCAGAAAGATTTTGTGTACGCAATTCTGGAGCTATTGCCGTTTGTGAGGTATATTATAAAATCATTTGTTATTGTATGTTGTAATTTTCTATATTTTAAATATTTATAATTATGAATTCCATTATATTTTGATTTTATTTTGCATTTTTTTTAGGGTGTTGGAGATCATGGTTGTGAATATATGACTGGCGGTTATGCTATAATATTAGGTCTTACAGGAAGAAATTTTGCAGCTGGTATGTCTGGAGGAATTGCTTATGTCTTAGACAAGTATGTTAATTATTTACTAGATTAGATACAATGAAATTTTTAATAAATTTGAATTTAATTGTGATTTACATAAGCANTACTTTTTGGCTGTTTGGGCAGACTTATTGCACCAGGAGATACCAAAAAGTAGCTATAAAAGAATAAAACAATAAAGCTTCTAATCTTTTTTTCCTTATGAATTAATGAAAAACGTTTTTCTTATATAAATGAATAATAGCTTTTGGTAACTTGAAGGACCAATTGTATATTTATTTTATAACATAATGTTTGAAATTTTGAATCAAATAGCAATCATGAATTTCATCAGAAAATGAATGAATTATGCTTTGAAGAATGTTTTGAAACATTTATTATACTCATCTCATGCAGTTATGGTAATGTGAGGTATCATAGCATTTTCTTTGAGAATCTGCCCACAAATTTGTGGAGAAAAAACAAAATTGAAAGGACAACCAAACCTATTGGAGATAAATACTTCAGATTTTCTATTTTCTTTGAGTTATTGTGTTGATGAATTGTTAAAGCAGGCTATCCTGCATTTTATTCATTCAATTGAGTTAGTCTGAGTCAGTCAAAAGCTACTTTGCTCATCACAACAAAACTTTGAAGTTGGAAGATATCAGAATTTTATTTGATGAGGTTTACAAATACTGTCGACCATACGAGCCTCATTTGTTAAGCATATTGAGAGAAAGGAAAAATTTCAGAAATTGGACTTTTTTCTAAAGACATTGTTGTAGATTCATTGATCATTAACAATTCTGAACTGAACAGAATTGGAAGATGTTTAATCATTGATGATTAATAAATAAATAATTTTTAATAAATTAATAATCTATTTTTAGAGATGGTTGTTTTTCTCAAAGATGCAATAAAGATATGGTGGATATTTTTCCTGTTGAATTAAATGAAGATTTGAAATTTTTGAAAGAAATAATAAGTGAATTTCATACTAAAACTGAATCTGATGTTGCTGCTCGCATTTTGAAAGAATGGCCTGATTCTACAAAACAATTTTTAAAAGTATTTGTTTTTTAATAGAATTAACTAAACAAAATGAAAATAATGTACTAGCTATTATTATTAAGATATATCTTCTATAATTGATAGATTTTCCCAAAAGAATATCAACGAGCTTTACGTCAATTAGAAGAAGAAAAATCCCAACAAAAATTAAATAGAAATGATAATACATATTCCATGGTTCATACAAAAACAAATGACATAGAAGAATTAGTATCTAACAGAAAGAAATCAGAAGTATTAGATAAAGTTCGGTAAGTTTTTTAAATATGAATAACAACATTTATTATCATTATTATCAGTATTAAAAAATACAGTGGGATTTTTTAATCCAAACTAACAAGATTATGGCACTTAATACACCAGACTTAACAGTGTTGAAAGTAAAAATATGGATAATTAATTTAGCAATATCTGGTAATAGCAGAGTTGAAGAAAAAGAATTAGAAAATACCAAGATCTAAAAATTGATCTTGAATGATTATGGCACAAACCATTCACCACAAATTTTATTTCCA